CATTCACTGGGCTCACAGCGAGTGAATGAATGAGCCAGCCCCACCGTTGCACAGCACACCAGGAAACAGATTCAGATGGAGATGGGGGGAGGCCTGTGGTGTCTGGCACGAAGTTATGGCTGGTTTGTGGCTTTCGAGCAAATAATGGGCAGGATGGGGAGTGCTCTGGAATATCAGGGCGGGGACATGCAAGGGACTAGAAGTCTGGTTTGGAAGTGCCAGACCACTCCCAGGCTCAGGGACACGGGGGCCGGCACCGATGGGAAGGAAGCTCGGCTTCATTAGGACATCTGACTGCAGGGTGGGTTGGCACTCTTGAAGAAGACAGGTTTGACCCCTGAGAAATGCACATGATCTGGAGGAAGGGAGAGTGCCCAGGAATGGTGGGAACACACAGGCGGTTGAGGGGTTTGGGCAGGAGGGCATGGGATGAGAGGATGTCATACATGTGAAACCCTGCATTCAGGACTTTCAAGGAGAAGTTGCCCTTTCTCCAGCCTCCATCTGCAGCTGGTGAAGTAAATAAGATGGAATTGTATACATGCTGCCTGCCGAGGGGCAAGGAGCAGGAGTCTGCAGGGGAGAGAGGGTGTTCTGTGTGGCAGTCTGCATGAGTGGGAGAAAGCTCTGTGCAGGAAACAGGGAGTGTATAGGGAGGCTGGTGAGGCCGGAGTGCAGGGTCCCATGGTGTGAGAGGAAGGAGCTGGAGAAATCCAGACCCTAGCAGGACTGTGCAATGAGGAAATGTTCTCTGAGCCAATCAGGCGCAGGCACTCAGGAGCTCAAGGGCACGGGCTTTGTGCCTCAGGCAAGGAGAAGGTTTTGAAGATTTTGGAGACTGGAGTGGGAAACATGATAGGGTCCGCTTCCTACTTTAGAGAGCAGGTTTGTTTCTGTCCTCGATTGCTCTCATCAGAGCTAGATGGAACTGAGTTACTTAGAGTAGGACTCACCAAATACAAGTATCATAATGTGGGTATGAGGGACACAGAAGCCTTGTCCCATCTTCTCGGGGCTCAGCCCACCCAGGGGAGAGGAGGTACTGAATAAGAAGAAGCCCTAGGAGTTCTGGCTGAGGCATTAATAAAGCTGCCATTTCCTCAGTCGCATCAAACAAGGAAGGAGAAACAGGCCTTCCCACCTGGAGCCCAGCTAGCAAGCTCCCAGATAAGCAAGGACCCAGGGGCTGCTCTGGACCTGGGCTTGGGACACCCTGCACCACACAGTCCAGAATAAGGAGGGACTGGGCTCCCTGAGGAGAAAGAGGACAGAGCATGCACAGCCCATGGCCTGAGTGAGCATGGGTACCTCTATACTAAGAGACAGCCGATCTTTGATGATGATGGTGCATTCAGAAGCCATGGTTGTTGGTCCCCTAGAATCTCCCACCCAGCAGTGCTCCTGGATCTGGGGCCTCCCCCACCAACCTGAAGATCTCCACAGCCCTTTCCCAGAGACCCTGCAGACCCTCAGTGGTATCAGCAGCTGATGGAAGAGAAGATTGCACAGCCTGGCACCATTCACAAGCATGAAGGAGGTACTGAGATGCAGAGCTCTGCCTATAAGTGCCACCAACCACCACAGAGATGAACACGTCCATGAGCAGCAGGACCATAGGGCACCCACTGCAGAGATGGACATATCCACAGGTGGCAGGACAGTGGGCACCCACTACTGAAATGGATGCGTACACAGATGGCAGGACCACAGGAACCACTGTGGAGGTGGACATGTTCATGGCGGCAGGATGGTGGAGCACCCACTATGGAAACGATAAGTCCACAGGTAGCAGGACTATGTATCCCTGCCGGATTAAATAAACTCTCACTCCTCCTGCCAAGAGGACCTGGTCATTTTTTTAAACCAAGGTACAATTATGTACAGTAAAATGAAAATGATTCAATCAGTCTGACACACAAACACATGTGTGGTCAACTCCCCCATCAACACAGAGCACTCTGTCACCCTCATCCCCTGTGGTCCAGTAGAACTCTCCACAGGCTCTGAAATGTCCCATAGGTAACCCTCCATCATGGTAGCCTTGGCCCACATGTGGCTGGTGTGACTGAGAAACAAAGTTTTCTCTCTTTTTATGTCATTTTACTTCATTAAAAGTCAGGTGACCATTCTGCAGCCTGAGAAACCTCTTTGCCCCAGTCAGGCCCGTCCCACCGCCTCACCACCCCCCTCCCCCATCGCCCCCGTGTGCATGTGGAAATCACCTCTCTGGTTTTTGTTCCCATCCATGGTTTGGTCAGCTTTTGTCTTAGAGAAATGGAACTCAGGCATCTGTCAGGCCTCTCTGCTGCTCTCACTCCTCTGTCTCCTAGCAGATTCCCCTGCAGAAGCTCTGTCTTGTGTCCACACCTCCCTGCTGCACTCGCAGTGCTTCCTGTCTGCGTGCACACTCACAGCCCTGTGAATATTGAGCACATCTTCCTTGGGACATATGTTTTTACTTCTGTGGGGCTGGCCCGGGGGTGGGGGGCGGGAGGAGCTGTGGTTCAGCCACTGCTGTGCCCACCTTACCCTCACTCCTGCCCCCGACCAGCAGCCCCTCCTCTGGGCAGCAAGTGATTTACTCCCCACCACTCCACAGGCACATCTTGAGGTTTCGTGCTAAATCTCAGGCACAGTGTAAGGACAAGCTACCTCCAGGGTGGAAGCACATCTCACCCTGGAATGCACAAGTGCCCCAAAGAAAAGGACCTTCATACTCCCTCCAGGGCAGACCCAGCTTCTGCTCCTGTTTCAAAGGCTGCCAGGGCAGCTCTCCCACTCACCAGGCCTCTTTGCCCTTCTCCCCCAGGTCCCTGGCTGTCGGGCCCCAGTACTCATCCCTGGGCACACAGCCCATCCTTTGTGCCAGCATCCCAGGCCTAGTACCCAAACAGCTGCGCTTCTGTCGGAACTACGTGGAGATCATGCCCAGCGTGGCAGAGGGCGTCAGGATCAGCATCGAGGAGTGCCAGCACCAGTTCCGCGGCCGCAGGTGGAACTGCACCACCATCAACAACAGCCTGGCCATCTTTGGCCCTGTGCTGGACAAAGGTATGCCTTCCAGGTGGAGGTGGCAGCCTGTTGGTGCAGCAGGCCCAATCCAGCTGCCCTGCTCTGCCCTCATGTCTCACCTGCCCCTGGTCATAGGAGCAGCACCTCCAACAGGTGGGCAGTGCTGCACACACCTGGGCCCTGGAGCCAGTGGTTATTTGGGAAGGAGAGGAAGATGAGGAGGGCTGCATGTTGGTTAACTTTTGGTGAAGAGCAAATTTTCTCAAAACATCATGGTTTAAACCAGCGATTTTCAGCCAGTGTGCCACAAGAATATTTAAAACATGCATTACCTGACTATTTAGTTAGAGGCACTGACCTCTTTTTCCTTAGAATGTCAGATTTTAAAATGACAACAGGGAACACAATAGCCATCCAGTGTAAATGAATCAAAATTATAACTATATACATATTTTATGTGCTGCAGAATTGTAGTAATTAGTTTATGTATGTCATGAGATGAAAAAGGTTGAAAATCTCAGGTTTGGACAATGATGCTGTGTCATACGTCCCAACAAAGCAGAGTGCAGCACCCCCAGATTGGTCTGTGCCCCTCCCTGTTCTCTCCGCCAGTCCCTGTTCTCTCCCACGTCTGGCGATCAGTGGGCCTCTGCATGTGGCCTGGGCTCCATCACTATATGGGAGCTGGGCCTCATGGGCAAGTGGGAAGGGAAGGAAGTGGAGAGTGGGAGAGAGGGACTCCTTTCATTCACTTAGCGGAATGTTTTCAAGATTTATCCGCACTGTAACATGTTACAGCACTTCATTCCTTTTATTACTGAATAATATCCCACTACATGGATATACCACATTTTATTATCCATTCATCGTTGATGGACATTGGGTTTTTTCAACCCTTGGCCATTGTAAATAGTGCTGCTATGAACATTTTAGTACAATCGTTTTCAAAGACTTTGGAGTGGATGAGTAGAATTGCTTGGTCTCAGGATAATTCTGTTTAAGTTTTTTTGTTGTTTCTTTTTTAAGAGTATTTTTTAGTATTTCAATAAAAAAGATTTTAATTATAATAATGTTACATGCAATAAACATTAATATTTCAAGAAAAAATATTTTAATTATAATAATGTTCCTCAACCCCGGCCTACCCCACCCGCCCTGCCAACATATAGAAACTGCCCTCCTTACCTATTTCTTTTTTTTTACATGCAATAAACATTAATATTTCAAGAACAACGATTTTAAATATAATAATACTAGAGGCCTGGTGCACGAAATTCATGCACCAGTGGTGGGGGGTGGTCCCCTCAGCCTGGCCTGCACCCTCTTGCCATCCAGGACCCCTCAGGAGATGTCCTCAGGCTTCAAGCCTGATCCTGCAGGCAGTCGGACATCCCTCTTGCAATCCAGGACCACTGGCTTCTAACTGCTCACCTGCCTGCCTGATCGCCCCTAACCACTTTGCATGCCTGCCTGATCACCCCTAACCACCTCTGCCTTGACCCCCGCCGCTGCAGCTTCATCCAGAAGATTGTCTGGAAGGTCGTTTGGCTGTTCAGTCTAATTAGCATATTATGCTTTTATTATTATAGATTACATGCAATAAAAATTAATATTTCAAGAAAAAGATTTTAAATTTAATATTACCAAAACTGTACTAACATAGTATAATATCACAAAAGTTGTAGGAAATATTAAAAACAGCAAATAACAGGATTATTTCTATTATAGTCTAAAATATTTTTTTCTCTGGCTCTATTTTTGTTCATCAGTTTATGTTGTTCATTTTATTCCACAAAAGAGTGAGATCATGAGATATTTATCTTTCTCCGACTGGTTTATTTCGCTTAGCATAATTTCATTTATTTTGCTTTAGGTCAATCCATGCTGTTGCAAATGGTAAGAGTTCCTTCTTTTTTACAAAGTAGTATTCCATTGTGTAGATGTACCACAGTTTTTAATCCATTCACCTGCTGATGGGCACGTAGGTTTCCAAATCTTAGCTATTGTAAACTGTGCTGCTATTAACATAGGGATGCAAATATCCTTTCTGATTGGTGTTTCTGGTTTCTTGGGATATATTCCTAGAAGCGGGATCACAGGGTCAAATGGGAGTTCCATTTGTAGTTTC